CCTTCCAGGCAAATCCCTGCCTCACGGGGCTGGGACACAGGAAGGACATGATTGGGAAAACTCGACTCTGGGCAATAGATACATCCTACCAAAGAGATAAAAATGACACTTGAAAATGGATTCTTTGCAGCAATCCTTTAGTATCTCTGAAAGTTGGAATTCAATCTGGAAAGGAAAAACTATTTCAATTGTCCATTCCATCAAATAGTTCAAGTGATGGGCTCACTTTGAATCCCCCCACCTACTCGATACTTATTGTGAGCTCTGGTGTCATCTGGATGGAAAACACCACTTAGGGAAGGGAGTGGGGGGAGAAGGGAAATCCAAAAAGGGAAAAACAAGCCTCTCATAAGCCACTCCCACATCCTTCCCTGACTCCCAGCCCTCTGAAGCAACTGAAATGCAGAATATTTGAGCTGGAAGAAACCTTATTTTTAGATAAGGTAAACCAACACCCAGGGGTCCAGTGAGTTGCTCGTGGTCACTGAGCATGTCAGAAGCAGCCCCAGGGTCCCCAGGTGCTAGTGAGTCAATGTTCCTTTGCAGACCTTAACCTTACACACCAACTTACTCAGACTCCAGTCAGGTCAGCCTTGGGCTCCTTGAAAATAAGTGGCCTTGGGGCACCTGGGTGGCTCAGTCATGATCTCACGGTTTGAGTTCAAGCCCCGAGTCGGGCTCTGTGCTGACAGCTCGGAGCCTGGAGACTGCTTCAGATTCTGTGTCTCCCTCTCTCTCTGCCCCTCCCCCACACATGCTCTGTCTCTCAGAAATAAATAAACATTAAAGAAACATTTTTTTTTAATATATAAAAGAAAATTAGTGGCCTTTAGGCTCTGACCTAAGGGGCCAGAAACAGCCCCTTGCAGAAGGTTGATTCAGGGCGGGGGGTTTAGGGTATGCTACTGGATGATGCCATGGTTAGTTGTCAACAGCATTAAGTACAGGGAGGTGAAAGGCAAGACAGACAGCCAATTCCCAGCAGCTAAGTGGGAGCAGCCTTGTGTCCCACTGACTTGGAGGCAGGGGCTGGAACAGGGCCACACACATGCCTCAGACAGGGCAGTTGGGCGCATGTGGCCCCAGGAAGCCCCAAGTCCAAACGGAAGCCCAGGCCACCCCATCCTGACCAAGGGAGTTTTTGAGATGCAGCCTGCATTACATACAGTTTATGGCTCTCCTGATACAAAGATGCTAAAGGTCCTTTCTAAGCTTGCACCAACCACCATCACACCCAGCTTTGCTCTGTCTTCTCCAAGGGGAAGAAACCCCATTGAGAATCAAGAAACTCGACTCTTGCTCAGCAAGAACCTGTTGATCAGACATGGAAACAAAACAACCATCAGGAAACCCGGGTAGAAGTCCTAGCCTGACCACCAGCAGGCAGGTGGCTTTGTGGCCTTCCTTTGCTGCCTGCCTCAACTGTAGAGGAAGGGTGCACTAGCCTCAGGGCCCTTCACATTCCACCTTGTAAGATACCGAGGAAGTAGGAAAAGGTGACTGAACCGCAGTATAAGACTTGGGCATTGTCCTCCTCCATCTGCTCGGAGCTGAAGCGCTTCCCTTCTGCCCACAAGAAGGCAAAGTGGTGAAAAAGGGAATAGAGAACAAAAGGGTGACAGAGCAGAAAGTCAGCAGCCAGGTCCTGGGCCAAGGTGGGCTTGGAGGTTTGGGAGGGGTCTCTGCGGGGCAATGTTGGGGTTGCCAAAAAGAAACCTCAGAGCAGTCTCCTACATATACCCCCCTGCCCAGAGATCTCAGAGGCCAGGGTTTTTTTCTTGTGTGCATGTGTATAGAGGGCAGGGTGGGGGATGGGTTCTGCCCAGGTCTCAGGCTTAAGCTTGGCACCAGCAGGTCGCTCTTACCCCTCCCGGGGAAAGAAGTCCCTCTGAGTGGGGCCACTTGACGAGAGGTGGATGGAATGTGGTGACATGGCCCGCAGACGCAGGACTTATAAGGGCTGAACAAGGACACAGGGAAAAAGAGCAAACAGATACAGCAAGACATTGGATGTGAATCGAGACACACGTTCCCAGAACCCCAGTGCTTCCCATGCTCCTTCCAAGGAGCTTTGGGCTGCTCAGCTCCCAGACTAGGACACTTCCCAGCTTCTAGCCTCCCTCCACATAGGACACCTCCAATGCCATTAGTCTGACCTGGTGTGAAGTCCCAGGCTTAGGATCTGTTCCACAGCGTTTTGCCTGCCCCTGCTAATTCCAGCCCCAAATCAAAGGGTGTGGCTCTCAGGACCCATTCTGGGCAGCACTTTGTGGTTTCCAGGTCTTTCATACCTACCATCTGGCACGTGAGCCTGGCAATCCTTTGATGTAACAGGCAAAGAAGTACTGGCCCATTTTACAGATGAAGAGCCAGCTCAGGGATTAGGTGTCTGGCCAGCCAGTGGCAGAGCCAGCAGTAAAATCCAGGTTGTCTGGGAACCTGAGGCACTTCCCCTATAGCCTGCAGTGTGTACTAGAGTCCAGACTGTGTGTGTATTAAGAATCAAGGGAACCAAGTTGGGATGGTAAGAAGTTCTCTAAAGGGTGGGACAGGGCTGGGTATGTAGAGAGTGTTAAATAAAATGGTTTCAGACCTAATGCTCCAAGCTACTTCTAGCCTCAGGAACAAAAGGCATAAACATCTTGGGAACACACCTGGTCAAAAGTCTGTTGTGAGTACCGGCCTACACCTCATTTACAGGGAACCAGATCTAACTGTGTGAACTGCACTGTGCAGACTCAGTGGCATGGCTGGGTGACTGCTTTCCATTTGGTTCCAGACAGTGCCAGGGGCCATGGTTTTCAGAGGCCACTCAAGTGGCAGGCTCACAGGGCCCCCAGCATGGAGGCCTGCTGGGCTAGGCTTCCTTCCCTTCTATGCCATCCACCTCCCTATCCCTCCTGGGGCTGTGGGGTCAGCCAGCGCAGATCTATCGCTTGTCCCAGTGCCTGGTAAGGTCTGCAGTTGTCCTCACTGAAACACACCAACCCATGCATCAAAGAGTTGGCCTGGGGGAATCTTACACCCCTTCCCCAGCTCTGAAATCAACACCTCCAACCCTTAAACCACCTTATGGTATTCCACTGTGAACATAGCACTGAGCCTACCACACCTGTATACTACCCGAAGGAAGCAGATGAAGCCTGAGAAGGGATGTTTCCTAACATAATGCTACACTGTTCAGGAATGGAAGCTGCTTCAAGGGCCTGTATTCTGGTTTGGAGCTCCTCAGTCACAAACATCCCAAGCTGTGCCTGGATATGGCCACAACCATACATCAAGAATGAGAACCAGTCTGGGCAGAAGTTCTTCACACAGCTTTCATTTCAACAAACATTCTCAAAAAAGGGCCTTAGATCCTGTTCCAGTAACCTCTCCTGACCACCTCCCACTCCACCAATAAAAGCCCAAACCCACTTGGGGAAGAGGTTGGCTAACCACAAAAGGGAACTAGGTACTCCAGACACTCATCCCATGGCCTGGTCCAGGTCAGGTTCTGTCCTTTCTCCCTGAGAGTCCCAGGCCTGTTCACAATTAAACAGGCAGCCTTGATGACTTCTGACAGCCAAGAGCCTCTGCTCAGTCAGCCATAAATGACTAAAGGCCATGGCAGATAGACCTACACAGACCCTCCCACTACACACAGCCCTTGCTATACCCCAGAGGCCCCCAGCACAGATGGATCCACCAGTGGACTCTTCATGAAGGGAGGACCCCACCTGTCAGCCTTGGCACATCTCAGAGGTGACCATATTTTTTCCATCCAAGGATAGGATGGAGAAGCAGCGGAAAGAGGGAAGCCATGTTGTCCCTGGGCAGGGAGTAGATGGGGTTCTGGCATACAGAGCTTTGTGGACTATCTATATAGTTCTGGCCTCACAGCAGCATGGTTTCTGAAGTCTAGTGATGGGCTCTGCCCCACTGCCTCGTGGCTTTGCCAGGAGTGTGAGGACCCCTCTAAGGCAGCCATGGTCAGGGAACGGCAGAGAAACTAATACGGTAGCAGATGTCAGTGCTACCCAAAACCAATGGCCCAGCAGAGGCTGGGGGCCATTGGGTGGTACCAGAACCTAGCACTCTAGCTCAGCTCTGGGTAACCAGAGGTTGGAGGCCATGGAGCAGGAATCCAGCCCCCAGGCCAGGTGGGATGGACACCTATATCTCTCAGGACTGTCTGGAGCCCCAATGGGATAAATGGGTTAGAGGCCAGGAGAGCAAAAAGCGAGGCACCCACACTTCATGTCTTGACTCCACTCTGAGTACTCACCAGACCCTCTCTGGAGATGAGAACAAGAAGAAATCATTATGTCCAAATGTTCAATGGATTTAGAAACTGGTTCCTACTGGGATAAGCTAGCCAGGCTGCCCATGAGCAGGGAAGGAGGAGAGGAGGAGACCCAACGGAATGACCCACCCCCACAAAAATGACAGGCAGCTGCTTTAGAGTGGGTACCGTTTCCTATTTAAGATGTCCAAAGCATCAGGGTACCAGGGCAAGGGGGTGGGGTGGGGGAAGGAATGAAAGCAGTAAGCCCCTGCACAGGCAACAAGGGGTTGTATCGCCTGTAGGGAATTGAACAATAATAAAATTGACTTGATCTCGTTTTATTATCACCCTGCACTGGCAATTCTAAATCCTGTCGGTGATAAAGATGCTCCTTCTACAAGGGCTGCCAGCTCCCATCACCCAGTCTTCAGATACCTATCCCAGCCCAAAGGGAACTAATCTGGAACAGCAGGACCCAGAGCTCAGGCCTCAAAAACTTTAGTTGCAGCATCTTTTTTCCCCCTATCCCCCAAACTCACCAAAACCCTAATATAAAACAAAACAGCAGATATAGTGTGTGTGTGGTTCAGAGCAAACTCTGGGTTCAAATCCCAACTTACCTACTAACTACATAAAAGTTATTTAACCTGTCTCAGATTCCTCATTTATAAAACAGTAATGACAATAATTCACAGTGCTGTTATTGTGCAAGTTCAAGGAGGTAAAAGGGTGAATTACTTCAGGTAATACCTGACTCAAACACTGTGTATGGGCTTACTACTACTAATCGGACAGCGTCTCTATTAGGTTATTTGAATAGAGAAGACACATGCACAACAACCCCCAGGGAGGAAGGCAGCCCAGCCTATAGCATCTGCCTGGATCTACCTGCTGGGACCCTGTGTCCAGGTAAATGCCCAGAAGTATAGACTCCTCCCTACCTTCATACCAAAAAAGAGCTTGCAGATACAGCATCAAGACGCCCCAGATTTTGTCAAATGTTTTTAATGGCAGAGAAAAGAGGAAGTGGCTGAGTCATATGCTGGGTCCCAGAATTCCTTCACCTTCATCTAGAGTGCAGAGACCTCTAGAGGACACACGGTGGACCCAGGGGTGTCCTGCCTGCAAGGAGCCACAATGGCCTAGATCCACTGGATGTTGTGGACAAGCAAAGATGGGAGTGGGAGGGCAGTAAGGGGCCAAGACCCTCCAGTCAAACTGTAGCCCCTTTGGCTGCCATTAATGCCTGCCTCTCTACAGTTTACCATTAGGCTGGCAAAAAAACTTCAACTCTTAGAAACTTGAACTCCACCCACCCAAGATTCCAAATACTACTTTCCTTAGCAGCCCCCCACAATGAATAATTACTGTAACTTAGTATTACCTTGTACTATGAAATTAAAGTCTCCATTTTCAAAACAGACCGGTTTCAAACCACATGTACCCCTCCCCAGAAACATTGTAACTCTCTACCCATCCCTAAAGAATCACTAAGACAAGCTTGGGTCTGGGATTCTACAGCCTCACAGGCAAGCCTGTCCTGGGCTGTCTGACCTCACCTTCTGGAGTTCTAGCACCAGCTATGACCCGCCTGGGTTAAGGTAGAGGCTCTAGACTGAAAGGGACACTCAGCTCTTCCCCTGAAGACCCTCTCCTTAATTCCTCACTGCCCTCCTTAGCTTTCAAAGGGTAGGAGAGCTTCTAACACCTCTCCTTTCCAAGTGACAGAAAATGCCAATTTTCCCAACCATGCATGATCTCAGGCACTTCACAATGTGGCCCCCACTACTGCTGAAAGCTAGCAAACTCCTGGAAGTCATGTGGCTCCACGATCCACCTCTCACTTTTACACATGCTATTCTCTCTTCCTGGGATGCCTTCTGACCGGCACAAGTCTAAGAACCTCCTACTGAGCTACATCTCAGGGAGGGCTCACTTCTACCTTCTCAGTGGTACCACTGCATCACTTGGTGATATCCCCTCATTTCACCACATCCCATTCCCTCCTGGCAAGTCCTTCTCACCTTCCAGTCTGTGATCTTTCACCTGGAATCCTGACCCCTGGTCCAGAAAAGGAACCTAATGCCTGTGATAGCAAAGCCCCAGTGGGTAGGGTGGCCAAGCAGGAGGAGTCAAGCCCATGCAAAGGAGCTTAAAATGAGGAGCCCCACTGATACCCCTTCTGGAACCACGAAAACATACCCCTTTCTCCAGAAACCTAACACCTTTAGAAATGAGTAGGGGGAGTAGGACTCTTTGGTTCTCTAGGCTTGCTTTACCTAATCTCCAACAGCCAGGCTGGGTTAGTCATGAAAGTAAACTACCACTGCTAACAGATTCCCCAGATGGTGGCTCCTGGGGGATGCAGAAATGACTGCCTAGGGGACATCGAAGCTAAAGGAAGGAATCCAGTTCCAGCTCAAACCAGCAATTCAAGATGGAACCTCAGTAGGAGAGATCTTGGCCCAGAGGGCTAATGAGGGGAGGGGGCTCATCCTTGCAATTACCTGGCCAGAGCAGACACTGGGCTCCAGGAGATTCCCAGAGCCTTTAGTTTTAGACTTCTATTAAACACAGGGCTGTGCCCCTCCATCAGCACACGGCAGCACTAGTGCTATAACCCACCTCTACCCGCAAGGAGAAGTTAACAGGGATTCCACTTCTTGAAGATCCTGCCCTCTCTCTCAGAACAGGCACTTAGAAAAAAAGTGACCAATACTTCAAATGCTTTAAGACTTTAGCTTGGCCACATGGTTCACCCTTCCCACTTCAAAGGGGTAAGTCTGAGGGTCAGCACAACCTCTTGGGTAAACTCCCTGTTGAAGTCAACCCTCTAGCATTAGCGGTATTCTGGGTCCTTGCCCAGCTTCACAGGAGATGGCTTCCCTCTCCCAGTTTCAACCCCCAGGAGGCCAAGCA